ATTAGTATTCATTTTCACAGCATACCACTGGGTACAGACCGCAGTTAGTGGTAAATCATTTTCGCATATTCAGATCTTATTTAATCCATTTTTCTAAATCGAATGCGCTGAGCACAGAACTGCTCACCATTCCATCAAGGATCAGAAGCCTGCGTGGAATCGGAGTCTGTGCAGGTATGGTTGCATCGTACATTCTGTTAAAAGCATTGAAAACGAGCCAATAAATTGTGTCTTTCTTCACATGGAAGGTTGGACTACAATGCGGAGACTTCGATCTCACGCACATGACCAGCCTTCTGATGATGTGCAAAGGATTGGTCAGTTGCTTGTTCTATTTGCAACGGTCACTGCCACGTAATAAAATACTTCGTACCAGGAAACATATCAACCTCATAAAAAAGCCTCTGTCAGATGGCAATTTGTCCGGGGCCTTGTTTGGGAATATATCAAAATATTTCTGGACACGTTTATGCACGGAGTTTGTAGCGAAAAGCTCTCCGAAATCGCTTCTTGATACCTCCTGAAATTCCAATGGATAGGTACCGTGCTCGACTTTGTGCTCAAAGAGGAGGCGACCTGTATGCGCTTTGCCGACAATTCCCGTGGTGCTCGCCCCTGGCGAAACCATTGCAGATGATGAAAGCTATTTGCGCGATGGGTGTAGCGACGCCGGAACTTTCATTGCTGTCTAACTTACAGCGTAGCCACAAGGAAGTGGACGTGCGTGTTGAAAACCATCTCAGATTTGAGTTTGCCAAACCCAAGGCTCAACGCCGACTTCCTGCGTATTGTCGGCCTGCGACACATGGAATCATCAATCACGCCCCCGCGATCTCTGTGGTTTCTCACACGGGTGAGTCTACGACCACAGCAGCTCAGGGTCATAACTTGAGTTTAGCTCATGGCCCTTCGGCTTACTGGGCTACTGCCGAGAAGCGCGAGGCGTACGACGACGCGGAGCGTCATGATCTTTCTGATCATAAGCGTCCACGACGTCTGGGCAGTCTTGCCGAAAGGGCACCTAAAATCCCACAATTGTTTTGGAGATTGGGTATCTCTGCCACTTCAGAAGATATTGGGTTCGACCCTGTCGACGACGTCGACCCACTAGGCGTTCCACGTGATAGTGGACGCCATCATTCTCATCGAGAAGAGTCGGCGGCGGACGATGACGACTTGGTCGATCGCCGTCCGGTAACTCGTGATGCTTTTCAAGCTCTGGAGGACAAAGTCCGTCGTCATCGGCACTCTGCCGAGCATTTTGCCGAGGTCGCAAACCGCTGGGTGGGAGACCTCGAGAGCTTGAAGCGCTTTTTGCATTGACTGCCTCACGTTGAGGACGATCGCGCTCTATCGGACCGGCTCCAAGCCGTCGAGCAGACGAATACGTCACTTCGTGCGATCATGGAGCGCCTTGCGCCATTGGAAATGAGAATGATTACACACTGTGCTCAAAAGTCAGGGTGTTTGAGCGCCGCCTCGGTGCCAACGCTTTCGCGTTCACTTGCGCCGAATTCCGGTACGGCTTAAGCAAGTCCACAAAAAATACCGGGTGGGTGCGCATCCTTCCCGAGAAAATTTAGTATATACGCAAGGCCTCGCTTGGCCACGACCTTAAAAGGCCCAGGAAATCGTGGACGGAGCTTTGTCTTAAAGACAACAGAGACTGCATGTGCAGGAAGGTTTTGAGCATTTAATAAAACCAGGTCCCCGACCTTACACTTTTCAAAATTTCTTCTGTTTATTCCTTCTGCAAATTCTTTCTGCATGTCTTGGCTTTCAGACATCGCATCGCGAGCGTGTCGTAGGACACTAAATCTGGAAGACATGAAGTCATCGACTTCTTTACAGACAGGGGCTGGCATCAGCTAGCAGTTCGGCTGTTCCTCCTCCACCAAGCCCTGAGCCATGGGCTGGTGACGTCAGCGGGACGCGAGGATGAACGAGCCCGTTCAAGTAGAACGGCGTGTAACCGGTAGACGAATGCACTGCATTGTTCAGAGCGAGCTCTACGAGCGGCAGCATGACGTTCCAGCGCTTTGGTTTCTCAGCGCAAATGCTGCGAAGAACGCCTTCAACGAAAAGATTCACTCGCTCAGTCTGACCATCGGTCTGCGGATGGTCCGCTATTGACATATAAACTTGGTGCCCAGCACCCTGAAGATTGTCGACCAAAACTTCCCAGAGAATCGTGGGTCTCTGTCAGAGACAATTGATTCCGGGGTTCATGTTGTCAAAAGACACGATCCACAAGCAGCGTCGATGTACCCACACCGTCGACGGTGTCCCGCACTGCCGCAAGATGAGCCATCTTGCTCAAACGGTCCACAAAGACCACCACACCCGT